TGGGGCCAGCGGGGCAGCCGGCTCGCCTTCCGCCTCGAGGTGCACACCGCCGGCTACGTGGGCTTCGGCTTCTCGCCCACCGGGGCCATGGCCGCGGCCGACATCGTCGTGGGCGGGGTGGCCCACGGACGGCCCTACCTCCAGGTAAGCGCGTCCCCTCCCGGAGCCCGCCCGGCAGAGCCCCGTCCAGACCCCGGGGAGGGCGCGGGTGCGGGGCGCCCCCGGGGCCACCCGGCGCTCTCTGCCGGGGCCAGGCTGGACACCCTCGCCCCCCAACCCCCGTAGTCCCTTGACCCCATCCCGGAGCCCTTTCACCTTCGCCATCCTCTCCTGCACCCCGGGGCCGAAGGCGCCCGCGGCTGGGCTCCCCGTGTCCCACCCCGCCGCTCGGAGCTCGGGCGACCCCTGGTAGTTTTCCTCCTCTGAACACTTTCCCGGCCCCAGCGCCCCACTTAAGAGATCGTCCACCGACACACCTGCCACGCATCCCCCTTCGTCCTTGATGGGAAAGGAGAGGGAGCCAGCTTTGGGGACCTGACGGGACAGCTCTCAGGGTGAGGGGCAGGGAGCTTTAGCACTCTGCGGTCTTCCTGTCCAGGGCTGGGAATCTCAGAATGTCCCCGGTCGCAGCTATTGCCCGGGCACAAGGCAGATTGTCAGCTACAGATGAGAGACAGATGAAAGGTCATCAATCGCTTAGGGTCCTTGCTGTTCAGAGAGCAGTTTAGGAAGCCGCATTTAGAGACCTTCAAAACCTAAGGTCCCCGGGCAAAACCCCCTATGAAGTGGTAAAACTTTTCACTTACTTTAATAGCCAACGAAGTAAGTTAATTTGATAGCTGCCGATTTGCTCGGAAGGAGCCAAACGTAGCCTGTTTGTAGATGCCTTTATGCATAAGAATAAAAGTATTGTGAAATGGCCAGAATGGTTAGGTTTCCTGGACATCTTCGTTTGATCTTGACCAACATTTGGATGTTGGGGTTTACACTCGTTGTTACTTAGCAAAATTCATGCAAAAATACCGCCCTCTGTTAAAAATCTCCTTATCCTGATCAAAACTCCTAGTTGTTCCAGCATTGTGTTAAGGCTTTGATAGCATTAAAATCAATGTTCCCACTGGATTTCAGAGTTTGTTTCTCAGTCACTTTAACCCGGACCTCTAAGTTCGATCTCCACAGCGTTCTGATTGAGATGCCATCAACTTTGAACCCTGATTCTGGCACTGAACTTTTAAACTTTGGCTAGAAAAAAAGTGACAGCAATAAAAAGTACACACCACTCTATTATCTATTTTTTTCATAAATTAATCGTTTCCTCCCAAAACGAGTACTCCACAACTCCAATAAAATAAAGTTTTATGAGGATTGTACTCTGCTGAAGTCATTGATACATAAATTTTCTCCTGCTGTGGCATTTCAGACATTAAATTTGTGAACCAAAGATCTGACTCCTAACACAGGCCTCACTAGCTAAACGCCTTACTTTCCTGTGATACGAAGTAGGCAATACGTTATTTAAACACCTATTTGAACCAAGTTTTTGTATTTGTATGTGTTTGTCTGTTTGTTTGTTTAGGGTGGGAGTGTATATGTCCTTAACTATCCCTGCATGTTCTGTAGAAGGGGGCATGAAAAATCTTACTATGGTAATATTATTAAATAGGGCATACTTTAAAAGTTAGCTTGATGTATTTTCTGCAAAAAGTAGCATTTCTAAAAAGCCCACCCAATTCAAAATCAAATGAGCAGAATCCTGACTCAACATGCCATAATAAGCCTACCACAAACATAGACTTTGTAATACCACCAGGTGTTTTCACACTGCTGATGGTTCTTCATAAAGATTGCGTAAGTCTTAAGTGCTCTTTAGACTGATTTTGAAACATGAAACTTTTCTTAATTAGTGAATACGTATTACTATGAGAGAAATTAGAAATAGATACTTTCCCAATGTATTTAATGAGGAACAAAGGGAATTTCCCCCCTCCATTTTTATTTCTAAGGAATAAAATGCTTATTTTCACGTATAAAATATCATCATTTCTTTATTTGGCTGACATACTTTACCATTCCATTTCCTTAAGCATGCTATTCACTTCAAGACAAACAAAATACAATAAAATTATGTTAATCAATTAAGTGAAAAGACAGTTTATTTAAAACCTCTTTAATAAGATGAAAGACACCAAATGCTGTAAATAAAAGTAAATGTACCAATTCCAGCTGGATCATCCAGGCTAGGTGATTCCATTTCCCAATACTTGATATGGAGTCTTCTCTCCAAACTTTACGTGGAACAATGAAACAGAAAGCACTGGCTCCTGGGGCATTAGTGTATGGGTAGCAGCCATTGATAGTTGGACAGTGACATCAGGCTCTATGATAATAACCTAAGCTGACATCCCAGTCACCTCATCTTGTGGCTTCTTTCCATATATTTTTATTTCATCCTTATTTAATTTTAAACTCAAACTTTAGATATTTTTTATTTTTTTCTTATTCTGACTTTTATTTTTTAAATTATTTTAAACTCTTCTTTTCAAAAAGGTGTTAATTCCTGGATAACTATACACCTCTAAAAAGTAAATCCTAATAAACCAGGTAGAGAATTGTTGGCTAAATAGATGTCACAAACCCAAATGCCTATAGATGTCAGGAAGGAAATGGAAGAGTGAAGAGGGCTTGAGTGGAATAGGCAGAATGTAATGCAACAGAGAGTAGAGGGCATTGAGAGAACAAATAAATGTTATGGGAGAATGAAAACCCAATATTGTCAGATCTCCTGTTTGTTTTTATGAAATTTAAAGAGAGAGAGAGAGTAAAATCTTCTGATTACTAAATACTGGCAATAACTCAAGTTTGTATAAAGCACCGTGTAGTACATGCACACACACACACACATGCACACACACAATTTCAGTTGGGATATACCCACAATCTAATCTGGAGCCAGCCAAGAGGAAGAAAACTAAGATTAATAATCCACCCAAATTATCAAAATCCATGAAAGTCAGAGAAGTCGGTCCCACTGTTTTTGGGCCATGTTTATTCTGTGCCAGGAAATGGGTACAGTATTGGGGGCCTTGCCCATTGACCTGGCTATCTATTCTTATGTAATAAATCACACCAAAATATAGCGACATGACACAAAGGCAACATTTATGTTGATCACAAATCTGCAGTTTGAGCAAGGCTTGGTGGGGACAGCTCTTCTCTGCTCCACTTTGTGTCAACTCCAAGGCGGATGATTGGAAGCATCTGAAGACTGGTTCACTTGAATGTCTGACTGGTCCTTGATGTTGGCAATTGGCTGGGACCTCAGCTCATACTGTGGTGGGATTGTGGCCACTCCATGTGGCTGCTTGGTTTTTGCACAACATAGTGACTGGGTCCCAAGAGTGAACATCCTGAGAGGCCCTGGTATAAACTGTACAGCTTTATATGGCTTAGCCTTTGAGTCATATAGCATGTCTTCTGCTGTGATCACAGGACCACAGGATTCAAAAGTAAACACAGACTCCACCCCAACATCACATTGTAAGACAGTCACATGGAAATGAACATATTGCTGAGGCCATCTTTGGAAAATCCATTCTATCACACCCACACTCACTGGCTGCCACAGTCTCCTTCCTACCACCCCTTTTGAGTTCCTGTCTACACGTGTCCACTTTCTTGACACGACTGAAATTGGGAGGCAGTGTTTACATATTCATCATTCCTTTTCTTCTCTCTGTTTCTCGCACACCCACATGCACACACTCCACTCGCAAGGAATTAGTGAAAAGTTGGTAATTTTTCCTCCTTTTCTATACTCCCACTGTTCCCTCCCTTCGTGCCCCCCACCCCCTAGTAAAAGTGTTCTGAACCTTCACAAGCCCATATTTGTCAAAAGTTGCCAATCATTAATTCAAAATTAGACCCAGTGAGCCTACCTCCTGAGGGCAGAGTGTGACATCTGCCTGCAGGCTTGTGGAGTTAAAAAATCACATTTTGAATTTCCTTCTCTCAAGGCAGTAGGCTTAACCACCCTTGAAACTATACTGAGGCCTGACATTATGGAAATTTGCCTTGCCATTTTGTAACCTTTCTGACCATGTCTGGAGGTATGAGGGTACTTCAAAAAGTTCGTGGAAGAATAGAATTAAAAGATCATACGAATCTTTCCATGAACTTTTTGAAGTACCCTCGTATTTCCTTAAGGGAGGCATAATAAGGTATGATCAAAATGGAAAACAAAAGGGAGAAATGTTCTGGTCGTGAGGTGAAGCCTGTGTCAGTGTAGTCTCTTGGGTAAATTGTTCCGGGGCAGCTTATGCTCATGGAAACATCAGCCCGAGAGGCTGCTGAGGTCCATTTCTACACTGTCTTTCACACGAGTGCCCGGGCTGAGGGTGGGAAGCAGTCTCTCCTTTGGCATGGGCTTTTCAGAACTTCAGTATTTTGTTGCAATGAATCAGCCCAACTCTCATTTCCCTGATAAATTCGTGTCCTTTCCTTGTCCTTTGCCCCTTTTTGACAGAGCACCTCCACCCCCACCCGAACCATTTAGCAACTGTGAGTGCCCATTTGAAGCAAGTAATCCGGTGGATGAATGCCGAGTTTGTGTGAGTTAGAGTCTCCTCTAACAGGCAGCGTTGTCGGATGTGCCTGTTGAATTTGCACTAAAATTGATTCACCCTTCCTATGGGGTATAAACCGCTAGTGAATGGCGGCTGAAACGTATGTCATCGTTTGTTACAGCCTTGCTTGTCGGCTGTCTCTAAAACTGAAGCCTTTCTGTGATGAGAAGTGTCTTCAGCAGCAGGGTAATTGCTGCCCGGCTGCTCGCTGAGGAAGTGCTTGGAACTGATTTGAAATCACAGAAAACACTGAGCATTCTTTGTGGTTAACGATGTGCTTCTTTTAAGTGCACCCCAGCCAACGGCAACAAAGAAATGTTTGGAAAGCAAATTGAAAGGCTCTAAGGGAAAGATGAAGAGTTGTGCGCAGCCCTGACACAGCTCAGCTGGTGCTTTGTTAAGAGATATTTATGTCTTCGGATTATGCCCCCCAATTTCCAGAAGATGAAGGGACCTCTCCAGGCTTCATGCTTTGTGCATTAGTAATAAGGCCACATGCTGCAGCGTAATGCTGCAACGCGG